GGCCCCGGGCCCCTCAACATATACAGTGCAACTTAACCACCAGGGGCCCCAGGCCCCTCAACATGTACAGTGCAACTTAACCACCAGGGGCCCCCAGAGCCTTCTGTATGTAGAGTGCAACTTAACCGCTAGGGGCCCCAGGTCCTCTTGACATATATACTGTAAGTTATCAATGAGGGCCCCCAGCTGTCTAAGGTGCAAGCTGACTGCCGGGGCCCCTGGGGCCCTTTCCACATACAATGAGAGTTAACCACAAGGGCCCCCAGCACCCCCAATATCCAGTATGTGGTTTGTTCACTGTACCTGTACGTCTCTCATCCCCTCCATAACAGGGGTGCCTCTAAATGGCAGGTGCCTCTAAAAGGCAGGTGCCCAGGGGCCTCGAAGGACCACACCTTAATGCACATTCTGCAATCCTGCATTCCTGCTCTTTACATCAAACCCAAGATCAAGTCCAATGTTCTGCAGAACACTCTTTGAAAAGTCATGATCATTTCTACCTTTCTCTTCACTCAGGGGTTTCCTCTTTGTTGCCAGGAGACTTCAAGCCAGGCGGATAATTACCATAAACCAAATATGAAACTGACTTCTCTTGAGTATAGCAATCTAAAGTTCTCAATTAGTTCCCCTGGCTCCCCGCTGGTGTCATCATCTCTTGGGACTGCAAACAAATGTTTACTCACTTAGTTTCAGGGCCCATTACCATTTTGAGCGAGGAGTTTTTGATCACAGTGCGGTAAACAAACGGAACAAGTCGGGCGGAAAAGGACAAGCACCGGGAGCCAGCTGGTATCTGAATCTCAGAGTGCATTGTGGGTCTCAGTAAGGCGCCACAGACCAACCCTGACCGTGCCGTCGGCCTTGGCCGACAAGACTGATAAACGGCGACCCCCGCTCGCGGCCCAGCTGCCTCTTGTTCCCGCTTTCTGCCCCATTTCAGAAGCCAAGCTGATCCCAGCGGGGCTGCAAGCGACACCGACGGCAGAAAAAAGAGAAGTCATGTGATTAGTTCTGTGCAAAATCAATCTCCGATCTCACGGCCGGCCGCCTGCCGCTAAATTGAATTTCGCCGGTCACAGAACTTCAATTAAGCCGAATATATACTGTTTCCTTGGCCACTTCGGACGGGGGGGGGGCTCGCTTTAAACTTGGATTACCTCTCTTTGGCTTCCTCTCAGCCGCAGGCCACCACCGTTGCGAGTTACTAGCTGGACTTTTGAATTTTTCACGAGGCGGCCTTCTGTCCGCCAGGCACGCGGCGGCGTGGAGACGGAGACAGTCGTCACGGAGACGGAGGCAGTTAATCCTGCATCTGCTTCGCATTCGGCCAAGGATGCGGCGTGAACGGCGACCATCAGACGGTGACGGGAGGGGAACGCGGCGCTGAAAAAGGCAGCAAAGATGGAGGGGGTCAGCAATGGTAGGAGGAGGCTGAGAAAATGCAAACAAACACATATAAACAAAAAGTCATTTTATTATAGATTTTATAATACTTTCTCATGTCGCCCCACTACAGGCTCCTTAAAAGTGGATTGAGGGTCACCTGACACAGACAGGGTGTGGAGCAATAGCAGCAGGGTGTGGGGACTCCCCAAAGGGGACTCTGGAGTGACACATCTCACAAACAAATAAAAGGGTCCCTACAGTTTCACGTTACAGTTTCATTTAAGTATAGAAAAAGGGAAAATAATGACCCCCCTACCCAAGAGATGAATGGACCAAGAATGAAAACCAGCAGGAAGAAAAACGTGGCAATAAATCAAAGTCTAATCGCCGCATGTGATTACCGCTAGTTATTGCACCATTCCAGATCCGTGTCTCACTCACCCCTATTGCCCCCCACCCCCGATCCCCATGGAGGGGTAAAAACAGTGAGGATCAGTAACAGATCACAGACAACTGGAGGATGAGTGAAGTCACTCGAGCAATATGGACAGTTAGCTAATAGCCCGAGTCACGGTGTGGCCCCATAACTCATCTCCTCTGAGTCACTTGCATCCGCATTCACGGTAGTCATCGCGTGTCGGGACTCCTGTGATGTGATGCCTGGGCCCATTTTTGCCGTCGGCGACATGGATATGAAACACTCCCCCCCCCTCCCCGCCACTACCTGCACCACCTTCTGCATCGGGTTTCAGCGCCCCCCCCCTGTTTCGGCAAATGCTGATGTTAGCATTCTAGGAGCCCTCGTCTTCGGTGCCGTCAACGGAGCGAGCTGGGGCGAAGTCCAACCCGAGCCTTGTGCCAGCCTCCCGCGGCAGCAGTGAGCACCACCGGGGGTGGCACGGGTAAAGAGCTGACGCGGAGCTTTCCAGCATGCCAGGAGGGGCACTCTGCCAGACATTTAAAATGCATTATACTCTATGCCTCTGATCAGAAGATGACCAGTTCGAACCCCGGCCACGCCAGAACAGTCACATGTCTGTGGGCCCTTGAACAAGGCCCTTAACCCCCCAGCGCCACAGGCACTGCACATTAGCTGACCCTGCGCTGCAACCCCCCCCAAGCTATGGAGAGCAAGATGAGGTCAGGAAAGTACAGTGCACAGTAGCTGTACTAGGGCATATGGAACATAAAAGCGTTTATACCGTTTTGAAAGACCAGTCTGCCAACGCTGCCACCCTTTGGGCAGTGTATCTGGCACACTGACGGGCAAGATGGAGGAGGGTATAGTTCCCCGGTTTCTTAGGCACCAAGATGGCTGCCTTTTACTTTTCCTAAAGCCAAAATTTCATTCTCTTAAAGGGTAATGTGGACTGTCTGACAGGGAGCTGAGAGGAAGCAAAAATGTAGACTGACAGGGAGCTGGGAGGGAGCAAAAATGTAGACTGACAGGGAGCTGGGAGGGAGCAAAAAAATGTGGACTGTCTCTGGGTCCTCGAGGACCAGATTGGGAAACACTGAAATATAAGTCTATATAAGTATCAGAATTGAGAATGAAGACAAAAAACTAAACTAAGATGCAAAAACAGAGACCTGTAATGTAAATTCCTGCCCAATTATCGAGGCTTAACTTGAAAAGGTAGAGTGGGGCGAGACCGGATCGCGTGCCGTCTCCTGACAGAGCAGCATAACAACTCGTATAGTGACTGGACACATTAGCGCACCGCTGGGCGACGGGAGCAGGACCAAGCACTGCAGCCAGGGAGCGCCAGAGAGCGGCCTCTGAGGAAGGGGGACGGCAGCTCCCCAGGGTAGGAAATTCCCACTCGCTACTCCAACTGTACATCCTCAGGAGAAACAGGTGACATCATAAAGTATCATACTGACCTGAATCGCAGTCTATTACAGAAAAAAAAACATGAAAATGAAAAAGAAGATATTACTGAGTCACGGGAGAAAGACGACACTTTTACTCAAAAATGTATTATCAACATAGGTGTGGGGAATTCATACAGCGATATCATTAGGGTTCTCATTTCAGAATCCTGAGATACTTGCAGTGCTAATAAAATGACATGGTCTCCTAGGTCCTGTAGGTATATTGCATCAAATGCAACTGATCGTTCAGTGAAACTCAATAATACAGCTCTGTAAAAAATTAAGAGACCACAGCAAAATTTTCAGTTTCATTCATTTCTCAATTTATGGGTATGTGAGTAAAATATACATTTTTTGCAAACTGCAGTCTGGCTCTTCCCTGCTTCTCATTGATGAAGGGCTTGTTTCTTGGTTTATGGTTCTCTTCTAGGAGCCTGATATGAACTGTCCTAGCAGTGCACTTCACACCACTTAATGATTCCCATTCTTTCTGAAGGTCACTTGAGGCCATCCTCCGATTTATTAGGCACTGCTGGATAAGTTGACGCTCATCTCTGGCATTAGAAAGTTGCTTCTGCCCTCTACCTGGCTGGTTCCTGGTCGTTCCCAGTCTCTCCAGCTTCACCTTGTTCTTGTGTGCTGCTGTCTTAGTGACTCTGATCCTGGAAGCAGCCTGACACGCAGTGTAGCCTCTGCCAGCAGAACCAAGATTAAACCAGGATTTAGAAATGCTGATTTTTTAAAAATATAGAATAGTCTCAATTTTTTCCAGAGCTGTATTTCTCACAAAAAAATAATTTCAAATAAAAAAAAGACTTAAATCAATGCACAAAGCTCAAGGAGAGATTTTTAATAGTAACAAGAACAACAACAGCAACAAATACTACATGAGTTCCTGAGTTTAAATAACACAGACAACCTGCAACCCTGTTCTTTCACAACATCCTTCACCAAAGCACAAAAAAAAATCATTCAGACGCATTTCTGCCAAATGCGTCTGCTTTATTCAGTAGAGCTAAATCAATGAGCAATACACCTTCAAATGAAATTATTTTTTTTTGCATGGAAAACAGAATAAATGACCTTAAAATGAGACCCTCCGGTGAAATGCTTTTTGCCGGCAAAGATAATCCTTCCTCAGAGAAGACAGGGCCGGTGGAGCCGTTAGCGGTTAATCATTACCACAAAGTAAGTATCCGAGCACTTTAAAGAGAACACAGGGCAAGCAGAGTAAGATGCAGAACCGCAAAGATCCACTCCGAGCTCACAACACAACATGCATTTGATCACAACAAAGCAAGAACGTCTGGTACATAATTCCCTCACGAACCAAGCCTTAAACACGAACTCATGTGAGCATGAATTCCCTAAATATATTTATATTCTATTTCAAATTCATGAATTTTACATGAGAACTTCATTAGAAAAATCTGCTGATATTAGAATGGGGAACTATTATTAAACAGGACAAAAAACTCCTGGGGAAATATCTTACTGTATTTCTGAGGCACCACAGATACATTTACAGAGAAAATACACAGTTATACTTGTATGACTATAGTTGATTATAGTTTAAGGCATTTCTTCAGAATGTGATATGTGGCTTTATTCAGGAGCCAAATAAACAGTGCTGGACATTTCAGGTCCAGAAGCTACAAATCCAGACCAAGATTTTGTTTCAACCGACCAGTTGAGTATAAAGTGCCACAGTCACAGAGTATTCAGCTGGTTGGTTGAAACAAAATCCCGGTCTGGATTTGTAGCTTCTGGAACTGCAATGCCCAACACTGCAAATAATAACATTAAACCTGAAAGAGCTTCCCTTACTGCAGGCAGAATTGCACTTTTATCAGTCTGAATCAAACTGTCAGTATCACCAACTTTTTAAAGTGAAGTTATGTTCTTAATTAAACAAATTAGAAAATAACATAAAAAAGGGGATATATTTGTGCACCGGCATGACATTTTAATAATGTAACGCGATCTTGAAAAATGAGTCGGCCTTTTTCCCGAAGTCTCTGATGACTGGTAAAGGTTAAAAACATGCTCTGCGCCAAAGTCTGGTATCTTCAAGAGTGCATATTTCTATGCCCTGGCACAGCAGCCCTTTTAAATAAACAAGGCCCTCCATCAAGACTAACAGCAATGTGACATTAATTCACAGTCCATAACAAACATAAAAAATCATCAAACTTAATTAAACGCGGGACACTTCAAAGTCTTACACTGAATCCTACACAGATTTAAAACTTTTAAAGCATTTCTGGGTACATATAAACTACCTATTCCAATCTCACACACGTGCACACCAAAAACAAAAATAATATTCTAATATATTAGAATTGTTAGTAAGCTAGTAGTGCACACAAAATTACAAATATGTACAAGGTGCAACCAAATTGAGAGTATGATTTTACTCAAATGTATAATTACAGTTTGCATCATAGCCCCACACCCACAGGGATGAGGGTTCGAATCCCATGCCCAATTCTGCATATGTTTGCATGCTTCTTGCAGTCATCCAAAAACATGCAGTTAGGCAAACGGGTTTCTCTGAATTTCATGTAAATTTGTGTGGCCTGTGCTGTCGTTTTGCCGTGTTTCCTGAGGTCGCGCACTCACTGTGGTCCTACACAGAAAAGGCGCTATAAAAACAGATTCCTAAATTACAAAATTACTGAGTTACCCACAGCAGCCAGTCATCATGTGATCCCTCCATTTACAGAATGTTATGGACGCAGAGTTGAGGGAACACTTGGTCTAATACTTATGAAATGCTTTGTCTGCAATGCATCACAAATTCATCACGCACAGCAAAATGAACGGAATTTGTAAATAACAAGGACATTAATCAGTGAGTGCTGTATATCTTTGCTTAATATCGGAGTTATTAAAGCGCAATGTCCTGTAACATTCATCATTAATGAGACCACAGGGCATTTCATCCCCTGAAAAACAGTTACTGAAAAAACCCAGAGCCTCAGAACGGATTTAATGAGGAACACAGGAAGTGTCTTCTCCTGATAGATCTTGCTGTTCTGACGGCTTGCCAGAGGCGCCCATGGGGTCTGGCTTGGAGAAAAGCCTCCTGAGGTCTAGGAGCGACTGCCAATGCTCACATC